ACAATGGCTGAGACATTAGCGGAGATTTTGACACACTGCATCCAAGAAATGCTTTTTCTGTACCCAGCGCTCCAATTTCTGTGCCTCTATTTTTCACTTCAATTTTCGTCAAAAAAAATTGTTACTGTTTAGTGTGGAAGTATTCCACTGAAAAATACGTGAAATTTCAACTAGAAAATCGCAACAGTTTAGCAGTACAAATACAATTATCGCGTGGGAATTTTACGACGTTAAAAAAAAACTAAATTTTGCAATTAAGAACTACAATTTCGGCCCGCCCGTAAAACCACTTATGCACAAAAGGAAGCTAATGGTCCATACGTTTCTTCTAAACTGAGCCATAAATGGTAGCTCCTAATTGCAAAATACAGTCCAAATGAAGCCGCTTTCCTCCACTTGGGAAGCGACGATTGACTGGACGAAATATGAGACACGACAGGTCTAATTTTTATTTCGATTCTGGATCTGTAAAACCTCTCTGGCTTTTGGCACTTTTTGAAAAAACATCTCGGGCTTCTTCATGGAAATTGGTAACTTTTTTTCCTCCAGGCGATTCTAAGTTTCCCAGACCGCTCGGAACCCTGATGTTTTTACCGTGTGGAACGCTCCCCCGTTCTGCCGTACTAAGAAAAAACCCCGTATGAACCTTCAGGCATTGCCAAATTCCCTGGAAAAGTTATGAATATTTTCGTCTCAATTTTTCAGATAATTTAGTTCGCAATTTTACCGAAAGATTCTGCAAATTTAAAGGAAAAACATTCATAACTTTCCTAAAAAAATAAACATTTTATTGAAGGAAATTTGGCAACTCTCGAATGTTCATACGGCGTTCTTCCTTAGCACGGCAGCGTTTTTCTCACGACAAACGACCGCGATAAAGAAAGGCATCATGCATTGTTCCCCGTTCCGGAGAATTTGGTGAAATATTATCGAGGACAGATTAGTCAAATAATCGAAAATTCTGAATATCCCAGCCGATACTTCAAAGTTGCCGCGGTCCACGTTGAAAATCGAGTATTTCGATCCCATTCCTCGTTTGAAAAATCTAAAATATCGTCACCGAATGGCAACGCTGGCCAGAGGTTACGAGGCGCTCTGCTACCCCCACCTCCTTTCTTTATCAATCCATTGTGTGGCTATTTGATTTATTTTTCTAATCGTGATAAATTCAACAATAAAATTACACAAGCAAAAGCAAAGATACGAACGACTTCTGACTAATATTGACCTTCGTCGGGTACGTCTGTAGGTCTCAGTTTTCTGAGCGAGAACTTACAAAGCTAAGAAGTGCAATTGCAGTTTGCAATACGGAACCATGCGCTATTTCTAGCTCATCCACAAAAGCCCTTATCTGCGTGGTGAAGCTGGTGATGTCATGAGCGCGTTGCTTCTAAAATGAGTCAGAAATAATGATTTCTCAGAGAAAAATAATTAAGCCCGATCACAGATCACTCGCTCAACTTCAAATGGTAAAAAAAAGGAAAAAAAAAAAAAGTGTAAGAGTGTAATTCCCTCGGAAAATGCACTAAAAAAATTAGACTTAATTTTGCGAATAAACACCATTATTGCTGGCTCATTTCAGAAACAAAAATTGTGCCGTTAAAATACCTCACTGACGGGTGTTTTTATTAATGAGCCAGAAACTGTAGTTTTTTGTATATAATAACTTCTTAGAGTAACAAGATTTTTCTGACTGGATTGCCACAAAATTTAAAAAATGAATTCCCTGATATTTCCCTAATTATACTGACTCTTTTGAGTAAAATTCCTCGACAAATGAAATTAAGTCATACGGCCAAAGATACATACCTAATTTGAAATAGTTCCTGGGAAAAATTTGTTTTTCTAACCGCACATCCACTCTGGAAAGCTAGTAAAAGGTAAATTTAAATACCTTTTCCTGGCACTTTCATCATTTTCCCTGATTTTTTAAAATTCCCTGACATTTCTCGGTTTCCCTGACTAGGGCAACCCTGGATTTCTCTGACTTCATCGATGGAAAGAAGGAACGATTTCAAACTTAAATCGAAGAGTAATTTTTAGATTTAGGGGTAAGTAGGTGTGCTAATATAATTAATCCTAAATTCACGTCGCTAGCTGTAAGACGCAATCTTACACTTCTCCCTGGCAGCCGAATTGCCTCTTTTCCTCATTATTTCCGCCGCTGAACCTGTCCAAGTTTCTTCAAACGAGGAAGAGAAGAAAAAGTTTTTATGTATCGAAAGATGCACTCGTTGCTACAATTCTTTGTTCTGTCTATTCTGACGCAGCGAAAACGATTACTTGCCTCGCGAAACTTTCATTGTTCTATAAAAAGTATTCGGCGGAACACAGCGTCATAACGAGGAAAATGACAGAAATGCGTCGATATTGAACCGTGCGGCAAGGCGTTCACGGCTGCATCGATTAAGAATATTTTCTCCCTGAAAATTTTCGAGAGGAACTTTCGGAAAACTGCCTAATCTGCACTCGCCTCCTCACGTTCTTAGATTTTAGTTTGAAATTGAGGAATTCAAAGCACGTTTTTGAGTGGACAAAAAACAAAATTACCTGCCTACAGAATAGTGTACCTATTTGAAACTTCTACACGATTTTAAAGCCGGTCAGGTGACAGGTCGTCACAAGCGCCATGCGACGTTTAGCAATTTCCGCCGCCACACTGGAAAAAAAAACACATTGGATCTCGAGTCCAGACTCTTAAAAACATCGACAAGAAAAAGTACTCTTGAATCAATCAGAATCTACCTTAAATCAAGAACCAAGCCTCTTAATTTAAGCGGATTTCGTTTTGCTTCCAGCAAAAATCCGATTGAATCATGAGTATTTTTTCTTATCAATATTTTCAAGGGTCTGGACTCTAGATCCAATGTGGTTTTTTTTCCAGTGCATTTTATTTTTTTATAGAGAAATTGTTGGTTGAATCTGTTCATTTCACTAAATTTCATCGGCAGCGCGAAGAAAATTCAGTGACATTTTCGGACAGCTTCGTTGAACAATTACTCTGTAAAAAAAATAAAATGACGGCGGAAATTTTCAAACATCGTATGGCGCTTTTGATACTTTGGCCGGAAAGTGACGAAGTATGGTTCGTAGAGATTGCTTTCCAGCAGGGTTGCAAGATCTCTTCCTGAAAATCAAGGAAGCCGCCATGATTTTCCTGGAGTCCAAAAAAACACTGGAATATTTTTAAAGACGGCTGTGAAGCATAATGCGAACCCTTTTTTTTTAAAAAAAAAAAACAAAAAAACAACATCCTTAGGTATAACTAACTGTTTTGCTCATTGGAAAATCTTCCAAGATTTGAAAACCCTCCAGGGTGGATGGCAAACTTTTCCGTCAAATTTGCAAGTGCCAGAATTTCAAGGATGAAACCCACCTTCCTTCGGATTTACAACCTTTCATAAAAACCATGGAACAGGTGGCTAGAAACGTAGCTTGGAGTGGAAGAATCGTAACAAGGTGAAGTGTGTACATTTTTTCCAGCAGCCCCATTGCTTCCCACGTGATTCGACATTTTGGGAGTTCTATACTACCGTGCTGAGGAAAAACCAGGAAAAACGCCGTATGAGCCTTCAGGCGTTGCCAAATTTCTCCCGGCAAAACTTTAGTTTTCAGAAATTTTTTTGAATATTAGCCTACCAATTTTCCAGATAATTTTGTTGGTAAATAATTTGATCTAAAACTTCTGAAAATTTCAAGGGAAAATATTCATTAATTTCCTAAATAATAAAGATTTTATCGAAGGAAATTTGGCAACTATCGAATGTTCATACGGCATTCTTCATTACCACAGCAGTAAGTATACCATGGAACGTCTGAACATCGCTTCTGGCGTAACCTATCACAGCTAAATTTTTCTCATGATTCATGATTTAAGTCCCACAGAAGTGCAACATCTGCCTTGCCCGATCATTTGATCAGCGAATTTTTGGGAAAGAGAGGAAATTTTCGACTGAACCAGCATCGAACAACTACTTCGGAAAAAATTCCGACAATTCATCGATCTTCTTAATTTTTCGGTTGACGTCCCGAGCATTCCTGATAGCTACTCTGCCATGCTAAGGAATAACGCCGTATGAACCTTCAGGCGTTGCCAAATTTCCTTTGATGAAACAGGAATTTTCTGGTGAACTTATGAATATTTTGCTTCCAATTTTTCAGATAATTTTGTTCGCAAATTTATCTGTTGTTCCTGAAAATTTGAAGGAAAAATATTCTTAACCTACCGCAAAAATAAACATTTTGTGGACAGAAATTAAGCATCTCTCGAGTGTTCATACAGCGTTCTTCCTTAGCACCACAGTACTAGACTGCGTTCTGCGCTCGTTTATTGTGCAGAGGTAAATCGTCAAGCACACGTTTAAAGCTTACGAGGAGAGGGAAAGGGACAACATGCAGACAGACAACTCCCTGATCTTGAGAGACAATAAGTAAGTAAATCTAGATTGATAAAATGATATGGAGCGAAAATACATTTTCACTAGAGATAGAGGTTTTGATAACTAATGGTAATACGATGTTAGTATCATTAACATCGTTGGAGCAGGAACAGATTGTCTACAGCAAATCGTTCCAGACGTCTGCCGCAAAAAAGATTTGGAACATAACCTCAAACGACACTATTGTCAAGACTCTACATTAAATCAGGACATATTGGGGTCACATACATTTTCCCGGAGAGTGATTTCTACTTCAGCAAATGAGCACCAAGGAAAACATCTCGATGAGGTGTTAATCATTTGGTGCAGAAGCACATCGTTCTTCGCTCATCACCTGATAACAGCCGATGGCAACTGGGCACACCGAAAGGTGTCCTTGATAAACTTAGTTTCCAATGCTAATAATAAAAAATAGCAAGCTAAAAGGCTGATGGTTAACTAGATTCATTCGATGGACCCGTAGACATAGTTAAACGAGAACGATTGTCGAAAATTAGAATAATAGGTGGTGGGCACCATCAGTCTAAATAGGTCAAGAGACAGTTAATTGCATTAGCTCACCTTGGGCTTGTAGAACCACTTCCGGAATGACTCCATATCGAATTTCATGGGAATTTTGAAGAAAACTGCACGATCACAACACTCTCAGCACTAAAGACATATTCTTTGCACATAAACTCACTGGAACAAGGCAGGGCGAGAGGCCATGCTTGTGTTGCTTAGCCAAGTTACACCACTTCTCATCTGCAGGCAAACAATGGATTTTCACTGAAAATTACGCGACGAGATTCACTTCGGAACAAAGATGGGAGAAGCTAGCTACGCGTTGAAATCGAACTCATTGGCAAGGCAATTTAATTCGCAAAACTACATGAAACTGCAAGAAACCAACGCGAAATCACTACACATCCGCAGTTCGCTGTCGCTCACCCGTAAAAAACTGGGAGCTGTTTACGCTGTTCCCCGTCTCGGAGCTACGCGGAAATTCGTCATCTCTCGAGCAAGAGAACCCCCACCACTTTGCGCCGCAGGGCTTTTGGTGCTTTCGTGTAGTGTGGTTGGCAGTCCTTTCTACTGGCTAACCTGGTGACTGGCGCAATGGAAAGCCCGCGTATTTTTAAATTAACGCACCTGCTGTGACTGAGCGACACGCTGTCTCTGAAAACGGAAAGAAGTCGTGTGGAAATGATGAAAAATTTATTTTTTGTAGTATTTTTTTCTGATTTAAGTAAGTTTTTCTATTTATCTATATCTATCTAGTAAGGATTCACTTATTATGATGAGCCTAGTGAAATGGCATTTAAGCAGTGTCTCAAAGTGTCATCCTTCAATTCACTCCTGCCAAAACGTATTTCTGTGGCCAAATTGGATGAAATAAAATTAAAAATTAAAAGAAAACAGTGACAGAGAACTATTCAACCTCATATATGGGTTAATTCTGCATTATTGGAGTAAATTGAACCAGAATTAACTTCATGGCATCTCACATTGGCTAATTTTTCTAATTTATTAATTTTGAAACAGAAAACTAAAGAGTATAACGCCTTTGAAATTTTCGTAAGTATACCCTAGATCGTCACCTTCCGGCTAGAGTATCACAAGTGCCATGCAATATTTCAAAATTTCCGCCGCCATTTTATTTATTACAGGGAAATAATTCAAAGAAGCTGTCCGAAAATGTCACTGAATTTTCTTTGTGCTGCCGATAAAATTCAGTGAACTTTTCGAACAGACTCAGCCAATAATTTTTCTGTAAAAAAGTAAAATGGCGGCGGAAACTTTGAAACGTCGCGTGACACTTGTGATACTTTGGCCGGAAGGTGACTAGATCATGAAGAATATACTTACTCACAAAATTGCAAGGGTCATTGTTGCTTAATTATTTATTTTACTTAAACATCATAGAAAATTAGGCAGCACCTGATGTAGCAGTGAGGTTGATTCGGGTTAAATCTGTTCGTTTAATGCAACAACACCCAAAGCCTCCTTACAGATTGACCCTTTGAGTGCATCTTCAAGTTAAAAAACACTTTGTCATGAGATTGAGAAACACTTTTTTACCTAATCAGGGTGTCTAGTATTTTTTAATTTTGAAAAATCCTGATATTTTCCTGATATTTTATAAACAATTCCTGATTTTTTTTTTTTTTTTGAAAATTCCTGATATTTTCCTGATTTTTCTTTGAGAAATTATCGGAAACAAAGACGGCGCGACGACTCTTGGCACGGTAGGCAAAAATCAGTAAGACCTCTCCGCTGAGGAGATTTGCGTAAGAAAAATTCCTGATAAAACGCCCGATTTTTCCGATTTTGGTGATACTTTCCTGGTTTTTTTCTGATCGGCCAAAATTCCTGATATTTTCCGGTTTCTCTTGATGCTAGACACCCTGCTAATATTTTATGTAACAAGATGGTCAAATAGTGCTGAATCCACTATTCTGCAAGGAAATCACAGTTAAATTATTTTTTTATTTTTATTTTTTTCTTTTCTTGGTAGCTTAAACTAGTATTGTTATCAGCTACCCTGGTAACCAGGGTACCATGTAAAATACAAATCAAAATTGGATATGGAAAAATAGTTTTCAAAATCAGTGTAAAATAGATATTAGACACTGGAAACTATGTTTAATATACAGTATCTAAATACTAAGGTCACTTGCTAAGAATAGCAAGTTAAAGCTATTTGTATACAATTATTTCCAAATTATCTTTTAAATAATTTTGAGTACTTCAAAATGTCAAGTGTACATTTTGGTCAGGTAAAACTTCAATTGTACCACATTGATGAAAAATCCTTACAATCAGTCAATCAAAGCAAGTCAGGATTAAAACAGCCGATTGAAAAACATGTAGTCAGTAGAAAAAGGATAAGATATTTATTTTGTACACGGTACAAAAAGAGTGAGTCAAGTCTTACAAAATATCTGCGAAAAGTCTGTACAATTAATATATTTACAACAAGATGGGTAAAAGCTTATTGACTAACGAGGTGAGGGACTGAAATTGAATTGGCCATGGTGGATATGACTTCGAGATCCAAAACAACATTGAAAAATTCTAGAGAGGAGACAAAGAATTAAGGCTTCCAGATACGAAGAAGACCATCTTCTGAATACGTGCAAAGTAAGTTTTGGTGCGGATGATGGGCCACGCCGATCACATCTTTCTCGTGGACCTATAAAAATTCAGCAAGAAATGAATAACTGCAAGCATGCCTGCCCTGCGGCCTAGGGTGTCCCTTATTTTTGAAATTTGAGAAAAGTTAAGCTCCCCAGGTCTCAAAACGTGCTATGAGGTGTACAAATAAGGAATGTTTTTTGGAAAAAATTTTAAAAACATTTTTAGGACTCTCTCAAGCGCCCTAAAGGGCGTCAATCGAAAACGTTCATTTCTGGTAGAGTGGATAGTCAATCCTAGGTGAAATTGACGAGTTAACGCCTGTAAGGCAAAAATTTGGTCCGTTTGGTCGTATCTTTGATCGTTCAGCCGGAAAACCGACTTAAATGCGGCGACGCGCGTGGGTTGTGAGTGAGGAACATGTACTCATACACAGCTAAACGTAGTGCAGGAAGCAACGATGGGGAGGCTGCAAAAAAAGACGAAAAAAAGAAACGGGGCGTTTTGTAATATTAACTTCTCGTGCTCAACTGGAAACCAAGAAAAATAAAAATATAAATAAATGAATTAATAAATAAATAAATGAAAATAAAAGGCTAAACACGAGTTGTTGATTCGCTGTTTTTGCGAGACGGAGACTCAATGTTGTTCTTCAGAGGGAGGACAATTAAAATTCTGATAAGGCTCTTTAAAATTAATATAAATTGTTCAATGTTTAAAAACGTCTTCGGCATGAAATCAGTCAAGCGTACCATCGTCCAACTTGCGTAGTAACATATTTTTGGCAACAATAGCAATATTAGGTAGTTTAACAAAAGTCAAAGCCTATCAAAATTTTTCGATGTCATTAGCTAGAATTTTTTTGGATATTTTATGAACATTGTTTGTGAAGTGAGACGATACTTGTAGAAAATCTTGAAATTTTGCTCACCTTCAACTTTCTTATTAAATTTTTGCATCAATTTGACGGCCCTTTCAGTATTCAAATTGTCAGTTTGTCAATTGTCTTTCAATATTGGGCCGTCAAATTGATGCAAAAATTTAATAAGAAAGTTGAAGGTGAGCAAAATTTCAAGATTTTCTACAAGTATCGTCTCACTTCACAAACAATGTTCATAAAATATCCAAAAAAATTCTAGCTAATGACATCGAAAAATTTTGATAGGCTTTGACTTTTGTTAAACTACCTAATATTGCTATTGTTGCCAAAAATATGTTACTACGCAAGTTGGACGATGGTACGCTTGACTGATTTCATGCCGAAGACGTTTTTAAACATTGAACAATTTATATTAATTTTAAAGAGCCTTATCAGAATTTTAATTGTCCTCCCTCTGAAGAACAACATTGAGTCTCCGTCTCGCAAAAACAGCGAATCAACAACTCGTGTTTAGCCTTTTATTTTCATTTATTTATTTATTAATTCATTTATTTATATTTTTATTTTTCTTGGTTTCCAGTTGAGCACGAGAAGTTAATATTACAAAACGCCCCATTTCTTTTTTTCGTCTTTTTTTGCAGCCTCCCCATCGTTGCTTCCTGCACTACGTTTAGCTGTGTATGAGTACATGTTCCTCACTCACAACCCACGCGCGTCGCCGCGCGCGGCCGGCGGGCGCGCGATGCAAAGCTTGTCTCGGTCAGCCGCGCGCGGCGCGCGGCCGCGGCTCGACTTCCCGCCCATTTAAGTCAGTTTTCCGGCGGAACGATCAAAGATACGACCAAACGGACCAAATTTTTGCCTTACAGGCGTTAACTCGTCAATTTCACCTAGGATTGACTATCCACTCTACCAGAAATGAACGTTTTCGATTGACGCCCTTTAGGGCGCTTGAGAGAGTCCTAAAAATGTTTTTAAAATTTTTTCCAAAAAACATTCCTTATTTGTACACCTCATAGCACGTTTTGAGACCTGGGGAGCTTAACTTTTCTCAAATTTCAAAAATAAGGGACACCCTACGCGGCCTCTTAATTGAAGAGAAACGACGCAGGGAGATCACATTCCATTACAGACAGGTTGATGACTAAACAAGGAAACCACATACTTTGATTGCAGATTTTTCTCAAGTGTATTATACCATTCACTGACAAAGACCAATTTATGTAATTTTCTGAAATTTAAGTTTATTGTATTTCTCTGTTTGTATAATTCTGTGAAAATTTCAAATAAAAGTTGTCGTTCTCCTCTCAAAAAGAAAATGCAATTTCACTGCAATCGAATTATGTGATTACTGCGATTAGTCATCAATATGAAAAATAGAGTATTAATGAGCGTGTTCAGTGTTGTTCAACTTTTGCATTTTTGAAAAGTAGAGAAATTCCTTGATTGACAGGTATTTTCCCCTATGTTTTTAACATTGTCATGCAAAAAAGAGTTCAAAGAAGCATATTTTAAACTCTCCTTTAAAGCAAGCATTGCCTTGAAAGCTACTATGGCATCCAAAAACATTACATGATCCATGGCCTATGCGGAGAAATAACAGAGTTGATCGGATACTTGCATCCAAATAAATTAATCATTCTCTGTTTCTGATTTTATTCAATAGCAAATAAGATAAATAAATTGAATAGTCATTTCTCATTTGTGTCAAAATGAATAATTAATTTTTAATCCAACTCAAGTCAATGAAAATGATAACGAACAGTATTCTGACTTCGCGTCAAAATTTTAGGTATCATCAAAGCTCTCATGCTTATTTTTGTTATTTTTGCCTAGAATAAAACTATTGAGCCGCATCAATTTTTAAAAGTGAAAGGGTATTAACTTACGTTTAAAGTTCTTTCTAATTTGCCAGAAGTGATGGAAAAGCAGTACAAGACAAAATCCTCTCCCACACAATATATCCATTCACCGCGTGGTGAGAGTGTCGCACATACAAAGTCTCCACCTTCTCTTTTACCGCTGGAGAACGATCTGACAATCTGCAACAAAAGTTGAGCGATATCAAGCAATTGAATACACGAGTGTCTTGCTGCAAGCAAAGAAAAATCCCTGTAGCAGAGTTGAAAGTATATTGATGATCAAGGTGCAAAACCGCTTATCTCCATGGCAGTATTTCACAATTTCTGCTTCTTTTTTATTTTTTTTTAGAGAGAAACAAGTCAACTCATTGGCCTGAAATTCATCAACAGAATATTCTGCTGACAGAAGAAATAAGCAAAAATTTCAGGGAATTTTTGAGAAATTGTGTTGACTAGTTCTCGAAAGAAAAAATAAAGTATCACCGGAAATCTGCTATGTTGCAAATGGAGATAGATGGTTTCGAAATTTGGCCATCGATATGTCCTTCAGATATTACGGAGATAAATACACATATGACTTACAACACATATCATCACCTTCCAGCCAAAGTATCATAAGCGCTATTCACGCTTAGCCACTATTTTGCGAGACATCTCAACTTTAAACTCACTTGACACACATTACTTAGAGAAAGAGGCAAAACTTACCTGTCCTTGCATATTCATTATGACAACGATATTTGTTCTGTTGCAGACAACAAAATGGTCATTATTTTTTGGTAAAATATGAACGCTGTTGACAGTGGCTCCAGCTGTTCCCAGGGATTTAAACGTGTTCACACATTCTGTTGACTTTACTGACCAGACTTTCACTGTTCCATCACTTGAAGCACTAAAAATGGAATACCACCGTATTAAGACATTTCTTGAAAAGCATTTGTAAGTAATAAATGGACAAAGTGTTACAAAAACGCATTTAGGAGCAAAATTAGTTGGAGGCAGTGATGAATTCAATTATAATAAGCTCCAATTTATAGGTTTTTATGGCCCCGATAAAGCTTTTCCCCACTTTAATTAGAATTCAACTGAATGAAATACCTAGAATTTGAATTGAATCTCTCAGGTTGAAAACAAACCCTCTCGGAAAAATGACATTTTTAGGAGACAATAAAAACTGCATTATAGGTATAAAATCCAAGTTGCATTGTTTACGAAATGAGAGATTCAATTACACTTGCTTGCCTCGCTAATCTGTCCGATTGGTAAAGTATCCTGAGAAGCTAACTTAAATAAAAATGCACAGATCCATTTGTGGAGAATCCATTAGTCCTTACAAACTGGCAAGGACAGTGTCCAAAGTCTAACCAAAAATGAACAAACTTTTCCTACAGTAAAGAGCTAGCAGCTTCTACAAGTTTCATTCCTATACATTACTTTTAAAGACAATGCCCCCTTCAGCAAATCACTAAAAAGTATAGACTAAGTTTTGATGTTCTTACTTTTGATATTTATAGAAACAGAAATGCTTAACTTAAGAGGTTCACCTTAGTAAATTGTGTCCATCAACTGTGAAGGCTACTTCATTGACAAATGATGTGTGTCCACGGAACTCCTTCAGTGTCTTGCCTGACTTCAAACCATGAATCCTGGAAAATCATTGAAAGTGGAAAATTAATCAACTCATTGAGATAAAGGAATTAATCTCAATTTAAGAGTAGCAGAGATTAAAATATGATTGGCTGAATACTGTGAATTCAAAAATTAAGTTTATGATTCAATAAAAAAATACTGCTTTAATTTCATTAATTGAATATAATATCTATTCTGAAGGCATATCATCTCCTGTATGCGATAGTAAATGGAAAGAAAACGAACAAAGGAACTCACAATCAAAATTTTAACCTTTTTTACTCAATTACACTTGCACGGACCGCAAATCGGCTCATTTGATAAATTCCTCCATGCTGGTCTCATTGATGACACATTTATAGCAGTCGGAGCATAGCGTGTGCAATACTAATTGATAATGGAATAAATAATGGCATTCATTGTCTTCTTCAAAAGAAGATATTTTGATCAATATTAGGTGGTAGAAATAGCATGAGTCTGCAAAGAGAATCTGTTTTGAAAAAAATTAAGGATTAGATGCACAAGTTTTGTGTAAGTTTTAGTGCTGCTTCTGAAAATGACCTTAGTCTGTTTGTTACCCCCTCTAATTTTCAGGAAAATTGATAAAAGAAGGATTTTCTGTGTAGATCAGTATAATTGAATTGGGAAAGATTTTGTTCTTTCTTACTGATTTGTAGAATGCAACCATTAAAACATCATTTTGTTAGACGCCAAGATGAGCCATGACATTATAATTGATAGCCTGAGTGTGGGAATACATCTGGACATAACCCCAATGCCTGCATAATTCTTGAAAATAACTTCAAAGTTGACTTTAAAAGAGATCAATACCTAATGGTCATATCAAATGATGCTGACAGTACTTGACTGTTGTCTCGAGAGAATTGAAGACATGTCACTCCTTTGGTGTGGGCTTTCTCAAATTTCCGCAGGACTTGACCGGATGCAATTTTCCAAACTTTGATCTGTCCATCTTCAGAGCCTCCCACTAACATTTCAGAGTCTCGACTAAAGGATAGGCAAAGAACCGCTTTCTCCATCATCATGAAATTGTCCTAAATACAAAACAAAAGTTATTAGTCGGTGCTTAATGAGCGAAAGGAATCCACAGTTTTTAAGTGAATCCCATAAAGGATGTGTCCCATTAAGGAGGGTATTTTGGCCCTAACTTTGGTCGAAAATTGAAACAGCTTAGGATAATGTCATGTATGGTCCAATCGACTCTTACTCATCTACCCTGTGAGAACTTGTCCTTATTTTAAGTGTTGTAGAAAGGTTTTTGCCTAATTTACCAGCACAAAGTAGTGAAGTTTTGCAGTTTTCGCGCATAATTGCTCATTTTTGGTCCTAAATTAGATTGTTTATGTATGAGCACAAGCAACTACCACTTTCTCCTTTAAGTATGTTGTAATGGGTGTACTAAAGATTAACATATTCGAATATGAAAGTGGTAGCCCCGTTGTGCTCATACATAAACAATCTAATTTAGGACCGAAAATGAACAATTATGCAAGAAAACTGCAAAACTTCACTACTTTGCGCTGGTAAATCACGCAAAAACCTTTCAAAAACACCTGAAATAAGGACAAGTTCTCACAGGGTAGATGACTACGAGTCAATTTGACCATACATGACATTATTCTAAGCTGTATCAATTTTCGACCAAAGTTAGGGCCAAAATACCCTCCAAAATGGGGCACATCCTTATCAGAAAGAATAGGATTCATCCGGATGCAAAGTTGCAGCTAATGATAGGTATTAACGATGATTTTGCTGGAAAGGTTTCTTAGAAACTTGGTAAGTAATGTCGCCCACTGTGGCAGAGTGTACCATGTTGCGGCAACCACGGGTGCAGAATTTTCCAAGCTTCCACATTTTCATGCGCCCGCCTGCCGGCTTTCCACATTTTCCTTATCAGTTTCCCACAAAATTTTCCACCAATTAAAAAAAGATGACCATTTTCTTTTGTTTTTTGTTGACTTTCAACTTTAGACCCTACAAAATGCTCCCTCCTTCCATATTTGAATCAGTGAGGGCGAAAACACACCAACTCGGTAACTCGAAAATTCTCAATTTTCATTCAAGACAGTCAATTTTCATAAAGGTCGTTGAAGTTAGCGCATCTGTTTTAACCTGGACCTTTAAAGTGTTCTTAAGTACTCGTCTTTCGGCACCAAAATTCTTTTTCTGAGACTGACTTCTTTACCTACTGTGCAGTTGTGTGTGTGTCTTGATTAGTTTCATTTTTTCAAGTTGGTGTGTTTTCGTTCTCACTGATTCATTTTTGGGGGGGATTTCAACATTTTTAGGCGCCCAAGCGGGCGCGTCATCCAGTATTTTCCGCATTCCTGGCGGCAACATGACAGATGCCACAGGATAGCAAATTAGGGAAAGAAGGAAGAAAACAAACCATTCCTAGCCAAACTGACCCATTGTCAAAAAAGATACAGCATCTTACCTGTGCCTGATATTTGAGATCTTTTCGTATTTTTCCAGTTGTGAAATTCCACACTTCTATGATGCCATCTACGGCTCCGGAAACAAGGTATTGACCATCCGGTGAAAATCTTGCACACTCAACATGAGACTTCTGGCCAAACTTGATCTGCTTCGATAATTGAGTCGGGTATTTTTCTTCCTCTTGATCTCTGATGGCAGCTTTTCCTCGGAACAGATCAATAGTTGTACCTAAAATATTAGAGAGGACCATTGAAGGATATAAAATCTTAAAAAGCGTAATTTGGTCCATTGCTCTATTTATGAAAAAGAGATTAAGTAAAAACGCAATCTGGGCTATTACCTAAAAATCAAAATTTGAGTGCATAGTTTTGAATTGAAATTCATTCCTTGTTACCGCAATTTTCTTCTATGATGTTAAATGGACCGCATTAAACTTAGCCACATCAGCTATTGCAAAATTTAATTGGACAATTTAATTTTTTACATGAAAACGGTTGTGCGGATTTTTGTGCAAATTTCAGTGAAAATTCTCCATGGTAGGAAGCAAATTACTTAAAATTTTCAAAGAAATCCGAACAAAAGTTCTCTCGTAAAAAATTTAATTGCCCAGTTAAACTTGGTAATAGCTGATGTGGCTTGGTTCCTTTCTGTTAAACTCGGTCCAAATGAAAACGGCACATAATATTTAATGGGTGTCAACCACTTTTCAAAAATATTTCCTGATGATTCAATAATTTCTACAACAAAAATGTAAAAATTCTTTAAATATCGGCAGTTTCTACAAAAAAAAATTCCAATAAAATACTTCTATGATTTTCTGAATTTAAACTTACAAAATTCCCAGATTATCAGTTGTGCCTAGAGGGGAACTCTGACAATTCCACAAGTTTTCAACACAGGAAATGAACGTTCTCTGATCACTAATTTGTAAGAAGTAATATGTTTTGAGGGACACTTGCTTTGACATTCAAAAACTTGACTCTACTTCTGGAAAAATGGAAACGTCTGAACTGAAAAAGCTCCGAGTTTCTGAAAAATTTACAACTCTCCATGAAAAGGTGGATTTAATAATTCAACAAAAAAATTCCATGATCAATGATGGTTACAAATATTACGGTCTTTTTAAGGTTTTTCCTGACAATTCTTCGTGTTCCCGATTTTCTGGGATGTTAAACACCCTGAATTACTAATAGTTTCAAAGAGTAAAGTAATTGCAAAAATGACCTGGAGGTAAAAGTCCTTGAAGCTGCTGCCACTTGACCGCTTGACCAAGAAGGGCCAGTAATCTTGACGATGGCACAACTGAGACCTCTCCAGATAAGGCTTGCGCAATTGCTGCTCTTCGTTTTTCCTTTGTTTTGCCTTCTGGATATGCTTCCCTCGGGTCAAAATACGAGCGAGCCAGAAGATTTTCTAAGAAGACAAAGAGAGTCTGGTTGAAATAAGTCTACAGGTTAAGTGCCCTGTCAGGAGCTTGATCTTTGAAAAAATAAAAATATATCTTTTTCACAAGATTACACAAAACGCAAACAACATTTTTGTTTACCACTCAATTATATTTTTTTGGCTGAAGGTACTTTTAAACCATAGGACTACAAAAATACATATCTTTAAGTACTTTAGTGATCCAAAATTCAAAAATTTTATCTTCAAAAAAAACAATAATGGACCTTAAAACTGGTTCAGGATGAATATGATAATGACATCATTTGGACCGCGTTAAACAGAAAGGAACCAAGCCACATCGGTTATTGCCAAATTGAATTGGGCAATTTAATTTTTTACCGAAAAATGAGTGTGCGGATTTCTCTGCAAATATCAGTGAATTTTCTGTGTAGTACAAAGTAAATTCCGCAAAAATGTCAAAGGAGTCTGCAAAACCGTTCTCTTGTAAAATATTAAATTGCTCTATTAAATTTGTCAATAGCTGATGTGGCTTGGTTCCTTTCTGTTTAACGTGGTCCATTTTTCAGTTAATTTACGTCTCAGAGCTACATTCAGTGAAAAGTGGACGTACGCAGATTTATGAGAAGTGGATTAAACTGATGAGATTTTGCTTACCTAAGTGAATATATCTATCGGGCTCTTGCTGTTTCATCACGATCATTGGATCTGTCTGGCGGAGTAATGTTCTAGCCGCTCCAAGTTCACGCAACTCAATAAGCTCTATGACTACCTTCAAAGACAAAAATAAAATTTTAAAAAAAACCTGCTTAATGAAGGAAGAGGCTCACGATGCAAACATGTCTTAGAGGAGAAAATTATCAAAATTAAGAGCTGAAGTGTTGAAAGTGGCTTGATACCACAAATAAATGACACACAATTATGCATTTTAAAACTATCTAGCCTCAAATTAATATTATGGTAAAAATCATTTTTCTAATTCTCATTTGACAAAATAGATTGATGACTTGCTGGTACCAAACCTACCGCTGAAGTGTTATAAAAATTCTATCAGGGAAAGCCATTCTCACATCTAGGAATGTTGATATTCATGATGAATTCTTCTTTAAATAGAAAATCAAATGCTGTGAGAGGTGATACTTTGTTACTATTCCTGGTAACCTAATTTGCACTTTCAACATACGTACTTGTTCATATAAATCTATCAATTTACTATCAGGAAGTTTGAGAGATTGGACTGCTTTCAATACAACGTCCCAATGCCCATTGTTAATATCAGTAACAAAACCATCGACACTTTCCACAGTGTTTAACGTGACTCCAGTTTCTTCCTGTTGAGAGACAAAATAAAATATTACTTGAAATGAAATATATTCAGAAAAGTTTCTTAGAGCTCCCATTAGATGAGTTGCCTGGTGTTGACTTTCGACTTTGGTGCTATGTCTATCCATTTACATACCTACGCAGGGCAGCATTGTGAATAGAAGTGATTTCTCTATTGCTGTAGAACGGCAGTAGCCCAGCTGTCATTACATAGAAATTTTTGCCAAATTATTTGACATAGGCTGTAACCTGATCAATTACACTACAACTGACCGAGTAATACTCCTATCACTCCTACCTTTGTTACAAAATAAAAACATGGAAATGGAAACAAGTCCAATATTGTATTAGTCTTGACATCAGTTGACATCAATCGCTCTGAAGGGCCAGATACACCTGCGCGCTACACGTGTGTCTTGTCTCGAAAAGTAGGATCCGATCACTACTTTGAGCGAGTTACTAGTGGTGAGTTGCGACCTGATTGGCTACAAAGATTGCCGAACACGGGCAAAGGCCTACTCGCCGCGCATCCAGCTCGCAGGTGTATCTGCTCCTTAACATGGCCCATGGATTTAGGGACTTTCGCCTTTCTTGGATGTCAAATATTCAATAAGTTCAAAATTTATAGAGCAAAAAATGTGGAAATTTGAAAACACAAGGGGCATCAAAGACATTATTGACCAATGAATGCTAAGACTCATGAATTCTTTGACTCTGCCTTTTTTTGCAGGTCTCCATTTCGGCTTCTTGTGGCAGGTCAGCCTCCTGTGGTGAAGTGGTTGTAGCGCTAGCCCTATGATCGGGAGGTCCCAGGTTCGATTCCCAGCTAGGAGACCCAAGTTTGATGGACTCAAACAATGGTTGCCTGGGACTGGTTGTTCAGTGGGGACGGAGGGGGGCCGGGATTATTAAGCGCGGGATTAGCCCTTGTGGGCTACTTGAAGTGGTAAAAAAAAAAAAAAAAATTGAATTGACAGAAACTTGCTAGGTAGCAGAACAATTTTTAAAAACGTTTCTTCCTTTCTTCCATGTTTTAATAACACATCACAGTGATAAGCTCTCCTTAGAGTGTTTATAAATCAATTCATGTAATAAGTACTGTTTATTTCTGAACAAATAAATAAGATTTATCACCTGCAAGACTTGTAAAGTTTTTGTAAGGTTTGACTCCTTGAGGTATTGTTGAATTAACCGGATAACACTGAAACACACCGAAGAATTGCATGAGAATGGCGTGAAAAATAATGGTTCATTAACATTGATTGCAATAACTCCCAATGTGTTGGCAATTTACTTTTCTATTCTTCATTGCGGAATCATTTCATTTCAGGGTGAAGAAATCATGAGAAGAGATGCTTCAATCTACCCAATCATTACCCATTAGAAACAGTCATATTTTGTAAATTATAGGTAAAATTCTTTGGGTGGAGACTCTATTTATCTTCATTTGTTAGTTCTTTGATAGATGAGCAAGTAATATATACAAACATGCGTTAGAAAATGATGAACTCTATAGTTTCGGAGACTATTCCCTGTAAATTGATTGCAATTTCATTCCCAACGACTTGGACATAATGAAGAATGAAAGAATTAGCAGTGAAGAGCGACTGGAAAAGAATTAAAAAGGTATAAATATTTGATTTGAAAGATGAGACAAAACTACTTATAGGTAAACTTACTCCGCCGATTCAATTTCAATAGACATTGTGCTTTGTCACTAGAATTCAGATGCAAGATAAAACAGTGTGGTTCATAGCGTTGTGCGAGATTCTTGGAGCTGAAAGAAGGTTTGTTAAAAACACATCACACTAAAAAATAAGAGATTAAAAATAATTTTTGTCTAGATTTTCAGGAAAGGAAAATTTTGATGTTTACACTAACATAACCTAGAAAATTCTCAAACATGTGTGGCGACAGTGCTGCCCGCACCGGATGGTGGTAGAGCATGGAAGTTGTTGGCGGCTTATTTAAATTGACGCACACCGTCCAAAAAGTCCGACGCGCGACGCAACAACGTAAGCAAAGAGTTTGAAATATAAATGAAAAATGTGGATTTGCTCTCAATACCAGGGCCGGATTAAGGGTGTGGCCACGTGGGCCGCGGCCCATAGCGGCAAATTTTGCAATTTTTTTAAATGCGGGTAAGAAAAAAATCGGATTCAGAAAGAAAATTACAAACGAGAAAAGGCGACAAAAGCTCTCATTTCCTGAGATTACAGTAATTTCTAATTTTGCCGTCTTTCGGTGATACAAGAGACAGCACCTCTATTTAGTCAAGTTGAGAGAGAAACCAAACACGCATGAGCGTGGAGGGCGCTCGCCGTAGCGCCTACAAGACTGCAGGAATACATCAAGCATTGCGCCAAACACAGTGCGGTCAGCGCGGCGATGCGGCGGAAGTTAAAATTATTAAACCACATTTATGTTTGTTCTTTCATAATTTTTTCGTTCATTTCTCATAAATGGAAGGCCTTGACCACATAGAGATAGGTTTACGGAACTTAACTTCCACGAAAAGTTCCGTGAACTTTTGCTGGTAGTGATGACAGGGCGGCTTTCGCAAAAAATGTGTCCGACACGAGTAAATGCGTCTTATGCACCTCTCCCTCTCCGGCACGTTCACTTGATGATGGTTTTTATTGATGTTTCAAAACGAATGAGAAGAAGGCGGCAAAATACAGGCGGCCCATGGGCGGCAAATAGGTGAATCCGGCCCTGCTCAATACTGTGGAGAACGTGAATTAAATTGATAGATATGATACTTTTTCCGAAGGAAAGAAGTACAAAAATTTTACAATTGACGGAGAACCTCCTCGCATGACTCGTGTGTCGCAACTTGAAGAACTAAAAATAACGGGAAAAACTAAATAAACCAACAAAATGACAGAGTGGGAGCCGGAGAAGCTAGGTTGCATAGTATTGTTGAGAGCTTTAGCTTGAAAACTTACTTCGAGTCTGAGGAGTTTTCCAAAAGAGCAGGAAAGAGCGCACACATGCGTGCACGCATGGATGCGTTTACATTGTTCATTTTTTTCTTCTTCTTTTGGTAAAAAGGTACATATTAAGGGGTTGCGAGGGTTCGCAATTTATTGTATTGAGCAAATGGGTGGTTTTTATACGAGGATTAAAAATAAACAAGTGGTACGGAATATAACAAAATAATATGAACTATGCAAAACGATAATCCGGGTATCGGAACTTGGCTGTTTTGAAAACGCCTTCAAATGCGACGTGATACCTCACGCATTCCGGAGAGTTCAAATAGTTGTATCATTGCGCCGTAAGAATGTGACGGAAGATTAAAATGGAAATAGCCTTCATGCACGCTGGCCTTTTCGATTTCCTTTGACATTTTTGCAGTGGTGATTGCAAAGCTGAATTGCGCTCCAGCTAGAATTGTATTTAGAAAATGGGTGGTTTTTATATGAGGATTAAGAATAAAAAAGTGGTACGGAATATAACAAAATAATATGAACTATGCAAAACGATTATCCGGGTATCGGAACTTGGCTGTTTTGAAAACGCCTCCAAATGCGACGTGATACCTCACGCATTCCGGAGAGTTCAAATAGTTGTATCATTGCGCCGTAAGAATGTGACGGAAGATTAAAATGGAAATAGCCTCTATGCACGCTGGGCTTGTCGATTTCCTTCTACATTTTTGCAGTCGTGAATGCATAGCTGGATTGCGCTCCAGCTAGAATAAATTTTCAAACCCACTTGTAAATTATTAAATTCTGATGATAAGTATATAATGTACCTGATACAAAAATTAGTTTTTGTTTTCTTTTAATTTTTATGTATCATTACAGAATATTCTACTTTAGTGCGTTTCCGGTTTTATCCTCGTCTCGTTCCGAAAATATGATGAACAGAGCCACCGATGATTTGCCAACGAAGAGGTACACGCTGTATTTAATCACCGAGTAGCTACCATAATTTAATGAGCCAGTTCGTGGTACTTCCTCACTAAAATTAGTTTCGGTACATATTATCATTACCTTGTTTTTGACTCTTGACTCATAACTGTTTCAACGAACAGAATTGCCGGTGATTATAAAATTCATCTACCGCGACCGCGACTAAGCTTTTTATGTAGAAAGCGGGCGATTTTCCGTTGAAACGGCAACAGTGTTAATGAGCGATGACGCTGACAGTGTGTTGCGGAGTTGCCTACCTATCAATTTGTCGGTTAGTTTGGTTAGAGCGTGCAGCGAGTAGTGAGTGATTTCCGGATCAAATTATTTTCTAGTCGTCTCTGAAAATGATAGAATTTAAGAAACTTAGATTTGTGAGCGGTTACATAGTGCTTCTACTTATCAACTTCTGTAACATCCTCGCAGAATGGAATACAGAGGACTATATGAAGCGAGAACATTCTCTGACGAAACCCTACCTAGGTAAGCTGCCCTTGAAAAATTTTCAGGAAGTCACGTCGTTCGTACGATTACTGTCCCAATTCCTACAAAATTGCCAATCATCCTGTCGTTTGAACAACTCCTCATGGGAATCTTTTGCCCGTGGCATAAATTTAGAGCTTAATTCCAAAGTAAATGGAGCTAACCTAACTCTCATTATTGTTTACTTTACTATGCAACATTTTCATTTCGTATTCATCTTTTCCTAGAGTTTCCTGCCTTATCTCACGTAACCCTGAACTAGATTTCTCCTTGCCCGCCTTGAATATCTGAAGGCCTCAATACATTTGACAGTTTTACAGCTGATGCGGGTACCTCTCCTAAGAATGGGCGCATCTTACTGCAAGATTTTGCCATTTCAATTAACCAAAATGATTCGCTCTTTTGGAAACTAAATGAAAGTACGCCTAATTCTATTGTAGTCCTGTAATTGTTTCACTCACCAGTTTCCCTTAGACTGAGGTGAATATTCGTAGCCAAAGAGCGAAACGACGTACCTCAATTTGCGATGTTGCAGACTTCCTGTCGAACTTTATTTTTTTTTTCGGAAAACGGGTCAACGTAATTTCTTGAAAACTCCCTTGATAATTCTTCTCTGTCAGAGGATTACTCGTATAAATTTCAAGCTGTAAAGTTGGCTCATTTTAAAAAAATATAATGGAAGCAGGAATTTGAAAACATCGCAATTGATGCAAGCACGCAGGTTGGAACTTCAGCCATCAATATTCACAGAAGTCAATGCTGGTTTGGATTTTTCCTTAAATATTTTCTCCAAGATTTTTTTAATCATCTGCTGCATCAGAGATCGCCCATGGCAGATTTTCCATGTCGTGCTCTCGCTTGATCCTTTTTCTCTCTCATTTGGTACTTGAGTCAGTATTCTTATCAATATGTGTCTCAAACTCAGTCATGTACAAGAGTTGATTTGGTTCAGTCTCTTCTAATATTTTTACCATCATACTATCAGAATCCTAAGTATTTTCTTCAGTGGTTTGTTGAGGTGCCAATCTTACCATTACTTATTGTATTTTGAGCTTGGCAAGGATTCTAATCTCAATTTGATTCTTTCACTTCTACAGAAATAAAAGTTAATCGTTCATTTTCTCTAATTTCTGTTGACTTTAATTCACAGGTTCTGGACTGACGATACCACATTGGGATTTGCTAGGTAGCACAATCGTCACTGACAAGTACGTCCGACTAACACCGGATTCTAGAAGTAGACATGGTTCGCTATGGAATGCATCGGTGAGCTCTCATCATTTTTTTTTCTATGTATTTTCTTTCAGATGAGATGGCTTCCAAGTTCTTTTACCAAGTAGCGCTCCTAGTTTGAGATAAGCTCAATCAACATTGGCAATCTCACACTCAACACCCTCTTTTCACACTGGAAAGAACCTTACAGCACTAGTGTCTCAAAATCCTAATCTTAAGTCGTTTCTCTTTGAAAAGGTTCAGTTTTGGCTCTTTAATTTTTTCCGTGGGTTAATTTCCGACTAAAAAGCACACCGACGGAGAAACTACCCAACCACATATTTCGGTTTGCAATGTCATAGACTACCTGTCATACTTTATTTTTTAGATGGAAAACTACTCTACGTCAATTCTTGAAAACTTCTGTGATTTTTCTGCTCTGTGTGAAGAAAAATCTGTGAAAACTTCAAGGGATGATATTGGTTCATACTCTTTCACAAAAATAAAATGATAGCAGTAGTTAGATGTATGGTAGTTTCAACATCGATATTCCATTTAGACAAAAAGACACAAAAAATCAGCAGGAAACAAGGCTATAATTAATAAACACAATTAATTAATTTTAGTGTGTGTTCATTAATTTTAGCCTTGTTTCCCACTGATTTTTTGTGTCTTGTTGTCGTACATGTTTCGGGCTACCATAACCTATCTTCCTCTTGCATTCCATTTAGTAGGTATTGAAATTCATTAATAAAAAACCTAAGTAGGAAGCCAATTTTGGTTGATAGTGATGTTTCTAAGCACCTCACTCAAGCAGCATGATTTCTTATTTGTAAAGAAATCAGTATCTGATATTTTATTCATGTGTTCCAGCCTGTTCAATCGAGGAATTGGGAAGTGCAGATAAACTTCAAAATCACTGGTAATGGTAAAGATCTGTTCGGAGATGGAATGGTAATCTGGTACACAAAAGAGAGGATGCAACCTGGACCTGTCTTTGGGTCCAAAGACTTTTTTGAAGGATTAGCCATTTTTATTGACACCTACAGCAATCACAATGGAGAGCACACGGTAAAGAATACTAATTTGCATTCTATGTATATTCTCTGTTTAATTATAGTACATTTATTAATAATGAACTTTTCTTTTTGACTCATCCATAAAAACACCCATCTGCCTAGGAAAACTAAAGGTACATATCGATGGAGAAATACCCACACGATGTATCTTGGTTTGCAGCGTTGCAGATTTCCTGTCATTCTTAATTTTTGAATGGAAAACTACTCAACAGTGATTCTTAAAAACTGTCTTGATTTTTCATCTCTGTGCGAAGCAAATTATGAGAACTTTGATATTAATGATGTTGATTTTTTTTTCCTCTGAAAAAATAAAACAGGGGTGAAGATGTTTAAATGCTGCCAAAGAGATTCGTAGTTTGGAAGTTTCACCGTTCATATATTATCTCTAAAATTAACAGCAAGGCCTCCCATAGTCTGGAAAATCAGCGAATCCTCAGCAACCAAATAAAGTCGGGGAATTCTGCAAAAAGCGCATTGGCTGGGTACCGTCAGCTAATGTCACTTAAAAAGCATGGATTTTTCGTCTTTTTCAGTTTTTGCCATGTATAACATTTTTTGAATGAAGAAAATGTGAGAATTGCAGTTTTTCCTGACTTTCCTTAACCTTCAGAAAAAATTGCAACAAGACAAAACAAACAAACAACAAATCACAGACAAAGGTTATCACCTTTATGTGCCCTTTTCCATGATTTGAATCTCCAGATTTTTTTTTTTGTAAAAACCAAGTATGATTTTTGTCTGAAGGTTAAGGGAAGTCAGAAAAAACTGCTATCTTCATGTTTTCTTCATTCAAAAAATTCTTTACATGGCAAAACTGAAAAAGTGTATAAAAAATAGCTGGCAAATCAAAATTTGGGGGTTTCTCTCCCCAAATCTTCAAGATGGCAATTTTAGACTGAATACTGAATCCTGATATCTTTTTTTGCTCAAGAAGTATTGAGGTCAAATGTTCCCACTTTGACCTCCTCTCCTTTTGTGTCTCTCCAAAAATTTTTGGGTGTCTGAATTTCCTTGCCAGTGCGTTTTCACCGAAATGTTTAATTTTTTTTTTTCTTTTCAGCATATGCATCCATATATTTCTGCAATGATAAACAATGGATCTCTGCATTACGACCATGACAGGGATGGAACGCACACCCAGATGGCTGGTTGTGAAGCCAAATTGAGAAATCTTCAATATGATACCCACATCTCCATCAAATACCAATATAATGTGTTGACAGGTTGGTTTTTTAGTCATTTTTATCAACTATCCAAGCTTTTATGTGCATATAACAATAATAGTGTGAAAAGTCAGAGGAGCTTTTTCATTTTGATCAGGGAAGTCCTGAAAAAGTCAGGGATTTTTCTATTGAGTCTAAAACACCTTTGAGATGAACACCACTGCTCAGTGAAATATTATGCTAATTAATATCCAAAAATATCATATCAAAACTGGAAGCATGTTGATTTAAAATTTTCAGTTCAAGAAACTTAGTTTCGACAGAATGTTTCCAGCCGCGGTACTCAGAGCTCAACATTTTAGGATTATAATGTGTCCTCATTCTGCACACTAAGTAACGCATAAATCAATATCACAGCTTGCACATTACTTATGAAGATATTATAAATGTTTTTGTTGAGAATCCAAGTCCTAATTTTTCAATCGATCTTAATTAAAATCACTTTCTTTTGAAAAATTTGCTGCTCTAAAGTCCTTTCTGCTATCAAAGGCACATATCAACAATGAAACTGCAATAATGTGTATCCCAGTTGCGTTGTTTTAAAATAACCCCTCCTAATTTATTTTTTATGAGGAGACTAAACCAACATCATAGCGTGAAATATTTACGGAATATTTCACACAAAGAAAAATTACAGAAGTTCTCAAGAAATGCTGTTCCTTTGCTATGTTTAATTTAAAATTCCTGAGTAGATTTGTTTAGTACCTATCCTTTCCTAGTTAAGAAAAGATAACAACTTTGTCTTTTTTAGTTGTTTTTGTCTCAACTATCAGCATTAATGTAGGTTGATTTTATGCTTACAGTTTCTACTGATTTTGAGGGTAAAGCTGCATGGAAAGAGTGTTTTACGGTGAATGGTGTCATGCTGCCCACTGGATATTATTTGGGCATGTCAGCAGCCACCGGTGACTTATCAGATAATCACGATGTCTTATCTGTGCGATTCTATGAATTAGATCTTCCCGATGATCCTAAGGAAGACAGATCTCATATCGTACCTTCTGCATCTCACTTTGAACCACCAAGAGGTAAATTCAGTTTTTTTAGTCTTGAATATCCTCTACTGTTATCCAGAATTATCTGAGATCTCCTGTAATAAAAGTTTTTGGTTCCAGTAAACATGATTTTTAAGAGATCGTCAAAAAACTGTTGTGACCATGTACACCACAATAAGTAGACAGTTTTTTTTCCGCTTCTGTATCTAAATTCTATACTCTAAATCAGCTGAACATAACATAATAATGCAAGTTCATTCTTTTTGTCATTTCCACAAGGAATATACAGATTCTGCGATCTTCCTAACAGTTCTGCTCTACTTTGTTAATTTCAGATTTTGATTGGCTAGTGTTCGATAAAAAAACTAATTTCAATACACATTATTGCAATGCCTACATCATGGGAAGGAAATAAAAAATTAACACAAGAAAAATCAGAAACAAGTAAAGCATCCGAAGTTGCTAAATTGACAATAGCTACTCTAAAAACCGCTCATATCAGAATGCATCGGATGGTCAAATTTTCCGATAAAAGCAGTTTTTGCTTCTTTCGTCTGCCTTCGAAAAAAATATTCGGTTTTAACTGTTAATTTTGTGTTTTATGCACATGACTGTGCCCTCCTTGTTTTATGTTGTGCCTCGTAAAGCAGGGGAAGAGGCATGTGATGGTCGAGCTTGCCTGATTTAAGGGATAAGAGATTAATTTATTTTGAAAAGTAATATTGTGTACAATTTCTCAACCCTTAAAGTCTTCCCCCTTTCTGAGTTTGTAAAATTCCTTCCCTTTGTTAATGTTCCGTGCTCAATTGACTGCATTCAAAATGTGAAGACTGACCAGTGTTGCCGAATTGAATGAATTAATGAATTAGAATTGATTCTTGTCCGAATCAATTTAAAGCCTCTTGTAAAAATGTATCCTAAAGAAGGTATTTCTGTTTTTTCAGAGCATGTTGATGACCCTAAGCCAGGAATGAGTGGTATCAAGCTGTTCTTCATAATGTTCGTCTGTATGATCGGTCTCATCATCGTCGTTGTTGTTGGAATAATGCTGTATCAAAAACATCAAGAGAATTCCAGGAAACGATTTTACTAGTCTGTGCTCAATTCGTGTTATTTATTTTTGGTATGTGAATCCTGTTTTCTACTATTTAGCCATCTTCACATCATGGAAATGTCCTTTCAAAACTCAGAGAGGCAAATCGAATTTTCCTTTTTTAAGAGAATAGCATGATCCTCTGAACGTCCTATCTTGTTGCGCAGCAACTTAAGTTTGTTAGAATTTCTTAACAGAGGTGCAAAACATTCTCATTCTCTCCTGCGATCTGCAGATCTTGGGACCTAAGGTGAAAGGGTAACTGCCAAAAAAAGATGTTTCGAAAATTAGTGGATTTGTAAGCGTCCTAAGTATGATATATTGCAAATTTTGCCGTGAGGTAGGAATGGTAGTTTATGAGAAACTGTCGGCACTTACTTAGCAACTTTTTACATCCCTGCGCTTAAATGGTTAAATACATATTACTGTATGTTGATCAATACATCACTGGTATGTTAGAAGTACGGGGTAAATGAGCTTCTCAAGTGTTTTAGAAGACGGGAAAAATTAAATGTAATTCATCAATAACTGCGAAAATCTGGAGTATTCGCCTATTCTGAAAGACATTTGTCATTAATGAATTGTTTTTTAGAGGTCCGTCTTAGACTGTCGGTTTGCAACTTTTTGAAACTGTTTATCCTAGTAGCTAACATTAGAACATTTTTATAGATGGCTCTAAGATGTTTTTAAATTATGGGTGAAGCTGGGAATAATTGGAATCGAGTAGACACTCACCTGCTCACCAAGGTTGACATCTGCACCATCCATAATTTTTTAAATACCTGTAAACTCCTTCTCTAGAAAGTAATTCCCCTATTGAATATCTTTCAGAGATTTGTTATACCAGGTTGTACCTATATATTTTTGGCGTTTAAAAAACTTAAGAGAGTCTTTGTGCTCATGTTCGGTTATCAGCACTCAACTACAATATATCTACACGCAACAGCTGGCTAAAAATTTCACTGTTCTCTGCTGTAGGAAAGGAGATGCGTGTAACCACTTTTTTTTGAGTTGAAACATAGCACCTAATTGTTCTATTCCAATTGGGTCTATCACTTAAATTTTTTGTCGAGTGATGCACTCTTATTATTAAATTATGTATTACTTTTTTTTTAAAATTGCTTTCAGTGAAGTCATCCACAATTATTCTGTTTTGTTTTTCCTTTTTTTTTCCATATATATTTTATTCATTTTTCATCTGGCAAGTTTTTGTCCGTGTATGATGGTGAAATCCTTTTTTTAGAAGAGAAGAAGAAGAAAACATTGTTTTTTTCTCTCTCGGGTAGTTGAAACAAGGATTGGCAACCACAACTCCTCCAGTGGCGAAGCGTGAATGATCCATTATCGATACTCCGATTAAAAGCGATGGTAAAAAATCTATTATTAAGGTGTTCAGGTGTTCATTGTGGACACCCTGATGATCGATCCTTTTCCAAAGGTTTAAACGGCAAATCACTTGATACGTGCTTGATACACACGCCATGCCACTGAACTCCTCCAAATAAATAATCCATCCATTCTGTTGGTGCAATAGACTGCGACTACCGTACATGATGTAATCCTAATAAAGACTTTTCCAACTGCATCTTGTGTGAGTCAAAAGAGGCTCTTATATTCCTTGATGCAATACAAAATACCAAAGGTGAAGCTTACAAGGCACTCTTCTCTCACAAAGGCTTCAAACAGCACTGTGAGGACTTTCATTTCGGGTGTGATTCCGTTATTCAACTTCTCGATCATTTTTAGATTAAAAGGAAAATAAAATGAAATTTTGTCTTTCAGGGGTCTTCATTGCTCTTTTTCTTGGTGACAATATTTATACCGATGGGAGATTGCACATGTCTTTTGAGTGTCCTACGCAACCATGCGAATCCAGTGCTGTATTATATTAATTAATTTTTATTTCATCCTCGGCTCGTTTTTCGGTTTGTTAGTTTTTTTGGTTTTGCAACATTCTTAATCTTTTTTTCAGTCATTATCTTAACTTTCTCATTGCTCATGATAGTTATCTGATTTCGCTATCTAAGAGGTACTCAGTCACCAGGTTGTTTTGGTCTTAAACTTGCACATGTGTTATTCTAAATGACTGTCGAAGATATCCCAAGAAGGTAATAACAGCGTGATTTTAACTGTTCTTGTTATGGTTTTCATTGGGTTGTGCTCGCACTGTTAACATTAAATTATAAATTCTGTAATTTGTGAGTAGATTAAATTAAAAGCATGCGTTTTATAAAATTACTGCCACAGTACCTGGCAAGTCCTGGTTGATACATCTTTGGCTTACTCATTACGATGATGTTCTTTGCTGATTAATAGGGAAAGCTAGGACTGGCAATCAGTTTAAAAATATGCTTCAATGTAGGAGGGAAAACGAAGATTGATTCAACAAAATGGCTTCTCGGAATGTTTTTCAACAAACATTAACCACATAAAATAATATGGACGTTGTTTTTAAGTACCCTTGTAATTTCACTGTTTGGGTGAAATTCAGAAAGTAAAACACAAAGTCAGAAAACAAATGTGAATCAAAATTGCAGTCCTTTCTTCTATTTCTTTTCATGTGGAATTACCCAAGAGAAATCTACCATTCCTGATAGTACTATTTATTGAAGCTGTACCCTCCGGCATTGGAATTTTTGTGAAGTTATAAGTTACGTGAGAGTTCTTTTTGTAAAATCTGCCGTGCTAAGTAGAAATGCTGTATAATCAACTGAATGCTGCCAAATTTTCTCTAAGAAAATACCTATTTTTGAAATAAGCCATGAATATTTTCCCTTGAAATTTGCAGACTTTTTAGATCAAAATATGAACGAAAGCCCCTGAAAAATTGAAGAAGAGATATCCACAAATTTTTCTGAAAATTCGTGATTTGCTGAAGGAAATTTTGCAACGCCTGGTAGCCTATACGGCGTTCTTACTAAGCATGGCAGAGATGTAAACTAGAAAAGGTCCATCCATCACCTCTGTTAATGTACAGTGTCTCTAGTTTTTTTTTATTTATATTCTAAGGATGTCAGTTGGTTTCACTTGGGAGTATTTATTTGCACAAGGTCCACGAGACAAGGTCTGAATTAAAAGAAAAACATGACATGTAATATCTCCAAAATTTCTTGTAGAAAACTATTCACATGTCAAACGTTCTCACAAGAGAAAACGGGTTGTAAAACGCTTTAATTACGTTATTTAGAGGCTCATTATTATTGTCATCTACTTATTCAATTCCACATTTGGGGATCTTTACTCAGTCCGTCCGTTTGTAAAATCTTGAAGCCACTTAATTTTTTTGCAATGATCTAAGAGAATATCATCCTGGAGGCTTTTGCATCCCCCCTGTATTGTTTTCCACCGGTATTTAATTTTGGACAGAACGTGTCCAGGTAGTCATTATTTTAGGTATATTCATATGTAAAAGCAATTCCTAGAGGAGTCCGTACCTCGCAAGATTTCAGTGAATTTTGAGGGTATAAAATTGAAAAGGTTCTTCTACCATTCTTAACTTTTCATTCAAATTCCTAAAAGTCAAAATGTTTTTTCATGGGTGAATGGAAAAATCAGTTCCAACTAAAAACACTAACTTACAAGTCTTTTATCTTCAGGATTTTCTTGTGAACTTAGAAGTAGGAATTTCATCTTACTAAAAATCTCTCTTTAGGAATGGACTACTAGACAAGGTACGAATTCAAGCAATCTGATACATGTTCCATAACCAGAAGCAAACCTAGAACTCGATTTGCAGAACGAAAATTACTGAAACCAACTCCTAACGAAGATATTAACGTTTTTATTTCACATTGATTCCGAGGAATTTGAACTGCCCGCTCACAAGAAACTAAAAGCTCTGTGTGAGTCAAATCGCGCACTGCAACGGTTTCAGCAAGCTTCTCAATCGAGCAATGTTCATTTCCCACCATGTGTTGTTCAAACTATAAGCAATTTGCTATAGCTGAGCGTCAAAATTGAGGTTGCCAGTGCAGATTTGTATGTAGGAGAGACTGTCATGATAACGTTTAGCGCGCGATGTGAATCACGTAGAGCATTGAGTTTTCATGAGCAGGTGGTTTGAATTCATGCATCAGGAATCATTAAAGATCTTTGTAAAGAGTTGATTTCGGTAATTTTTGTTGTGCGCATCATGTTTTACGTGAAATTTTGGTTATGAAACATGTATCAGAATGCTGAAATTCGCACCTTGTCTAGTGGTCCATTCACAGTAAATTTTGAGCAGTAATGTTGATTCATATTCCTTTTTTTCTTTTTAAAAATAATTTCGTGATGTACATTTTGGTTTGGCTCATTTTCTTTAAACGCATCCTTGCAAGAATAAGAAGAAAAATAAATATTTTGCATATCAATCCAGCTTGAGAAGGATCTCTTATAATTTTCATAGTAATAAGCTATTTTATCGTTCTATTAATTGTAAATTTAAAATTTTATCCCCTTTGGTGATATGTGATACTACTTACATCGCAAAATTGAAACTAGAAAATTACGTATCTTGATTATTGCACAGAGTAACTAGCAACTAGGAAAAATCAGGAAACTTCGTGAAGGTCAGGGAATTTTTTGTGAAGCAGGGCTCAATGTAAAAATCGGGTCCGTGACAGGCCAGCTGATCGCGTTGCTCTGGCAACATTATGACCACATAAATTAAGTGTCCTTATGTTATCGTAAAAAAAAGTCAAGGAATTTCATTAAAAGAAGTCAGAGAATGATGCAATGAAATTTTGCTAGCTACCCTGTTGCACTTCAAAATTCCGCTTCTACATTATTTATAAGTATGTGGTTTGCCGTTTGAAATATTATATGTAATAAGATGTGTGCAACATCGCAAACCAAAATACTGGATTTTCTAGTTTCATAATGTACATTTTGTTTTCAAGATAAAGAGAACGCTTCTCCTGCCATACTTTTCTTACAATCATAAGTTCATCCTAGGGTATCTGAAAATTTTGAGCCGAGGCCAAACAGTTACTGAATGGCTTAACATAGTGCAGAAGATACGTGGAAGAATCGAAAAATTCAAATGCTTCACAAGTTGAGGAGACCTGAAAACGTAGAACTTAAAGTAGCTGGACATATTGCATCACAGCCGTTTATCAATATTTTTATCAAATGTGGTAAAAGTATGACAGAAATTATGAGCATGGTAATCCGAGTGTTCGAAAAGATCAGCAAAGATTTTCAAGCCTTGCAATTTTTAAAAGAAAACTCAGGGAAAACAGAAGGGACCTTAACTTTTAGAAGCACTGATTTCCAGCAGTATTGCTTGTAAAAATATAGATCTTTATTTGTTATAAATCAGGGTTCTTTCAACTGAATTAAATTTTGCGCTTGAAAATTGTGTTCTGCTGTCAGTTTCTCTCCTTCTTTGCCTCTATTTTGTTGCATCAACGGACAGAATATTATCCAATTGTGTTACATTATCAAATCTTGAAAACAATTTCATAAAAAAATGTATCACAGTAACTACTATCTTCAAATTTTTGAGTTGTCAAATGATCAAATTCTATAATCTGTAAATTAAGGCATCTAAACCTAAGGCCATTGCGGTTCCTGCAAGACAAAAATTCTTTGCGGGGCAGATACTAACACATGTGGTCAAACTTGAAATTCAGCTCGTCAGAAACTATCAGTGGCTTATCAAAGTATTAATTTGCAAGTAAAATTTACATGAATGCAGTAGGATCAGTTCTGTCAAGAATGATGAAAACCATTATTGTGTGTTTATCTAAGTCCTGTCATTTTTTTTACTAGGAATCTTGGTGCTTCAACTTACGGCAGCTAAAGGTTCAGTATAAGACTCCCAACCTTTTTTTTTCTACTTTAATGGGACTGAGGATGTACATCGAACCAAATTTTACTTGTGATTTATTTTATATTGTGGATAAATTTATGTTTTCATTTTAGTAGCCCTGTCAGCTACCAAAGTTGTATTAAGAAAAGTATGGGTAATCTCAACGCTCAACTTCTCTTCCTAAAAATGTTCTCTAATTACCTAAGCTTTTTTGAATTGATAAAATTGTTAATGATCTTGTATAATTATTTTGTAAGTAGGTGTAAACATGTTGTTATTTCTTTTACAATTTGTAAATTGTTGAGTGTATTAAATATGAATGGTGTCAAATACTTTATTTTGTTTCTGTTTTAGTCCTTCTGTCCCATAATGGTCGTCAAGGTGTGAATTTAAGCATCATGATATTTGTTCTCTCTTTAAAATTTCACGCAGAAGACGATTTGTTCTATGAAAATTATTGAAAGTAACTCTTGACCAAGATATTGGCGTTTTTCAATGCATAAATTGGAACTTTCTGCTCATAAAAAACTATTATCTACATGAGTTCAATTTTACACTAAATGTTACTTTAACAGTCTCGGAAATAGTCTCTTTAGTATACAGTTTGAAAATATGGCAACCTAAATTCTAGCACTTCTGCCAGGCTGTTGCAAGTTTTTTAAAGTTAAAGAAAAAATCAAAATCACTCATTTAAAATAATTTTTCGATGCATAAATTGAAACTTCCTGCTCATAAAAAAACTATAATGAGTTCAATTTCACACTAAATTTTACTGTAACAGTCTCAAAAATAGTCTCTTTAGTAAACAGTTTGAAAATATGGCAACCTCAATTCTAGCACTTCTGCTAGGCTGTTGCAAGTTTTTTAGATTTTGTTAAAGGAAAAATCAAAATCACGTATTTAAAATAAAAATATTCCTGTTGTCACAAAAAATCCAGAAAAGATTCAGGAACTTCCAATATAAGAATACAGAATACCTACATATGGCTTAGGTGCAAAACCACTTATGTCCATCGCATTGTTGCAAAATCTCCGCCTCTGTTCGATGTCTTCGAAGAGGAACAAGCCTATTCCATAGCTTGAAAATTTTGCACAATACTATGCTAATAGAGCAGAAAAATCGAGGACATTTTAAAAAAATTACATCAACTAGTTTTCAAAAGAAAAAATAAGGTCTGACTGGAAATCTGCAACGTCGCAAACGGGGGTATGTGGTTTCGCACTTCAGCTATCGCTGTGTTCCCATGTAGCTTGTTGATTATTCTTCATTATAATTTTTTTTGACGTTGTTGAGCAAGCTGCCTCAAGGATATAGTATCCCGATTTATTGATGGAATAGGATCTCCAAGTGGGTACCAAAAGTTTATTTTGCTCTGTCAAGCAAATGTTTTAGATTTAGATCGCACTTACCCTACATTGTAGAACTATAACTTCATTGGTTTATTTAAGGAAGAACATTTTTGCAAGTCATAAAACCCCTTCAGTTTTGCTTGCTGACTAGGGATGGCAATTTTTTTGAATAAATCGATTTCGGGAAATCAAATTGATTTTCGGTAAAAATATCGAATTGGTTTTCCGTAAAAATATGCATTTAATTTTCGGTGAAAAAATTAATTCGCTTTCAAGATCGGATGAAAAAATCGAATTTTTGAAAATCGATTTTAAACCACTTAAAAATCCAAGTTCGGCGCAAAAAACATAACTACTACTGAAACTGAACTTGAAATGAAACCAGGGATTCACAGAACCTAGGCCTTATGTGACACACTATCATACGAAATTTCGATTTTTTTCTCAATACTTAATTCGATTTCGGCTCAAAAAATCGATTTTCGGTGCAAAAAATCGAGTAAGAATCGCCATCCCTATTTTGCTTACTGCAAACGGCAACACACTTTCTTTCCTTGAACGGAGAATACAAAACCCCTTCAATTTGGCTAACTGCAACCAGTAACGCACTTCACCTCCATGAACAACGGAACTGCCTGTTAGCCTCCTTGTTTGATCAGCACTCATCTGTATTTTAGCGAGCCTGTATGCACCAGCGTAAACTAATTTTCTGCCATGCTAAGGAAGAATGCCGTATGAGCCTTCAGACGTTGCAAAATTTCCTTAAAAACAGGGCTGTAGCCAGGGGGGGGGGAGAGGGGGCGTCGCCCCCCCCAAGTGAGATTTTTCGCCCCCCCCTAGTGATATTGCGGGGTTTAATTAACTTCATTATTTATAGTCCCGGACTTCAGTCAAAAGTTCGGTTATTATTCCTCAATCCTAAAAGAGTTGGTGTATCAACTTATCAACAAGTTATTTGTGGAGTTGTCTTACAGCCAGGGCGCACACGCTGATCGCAGATAGCTTGTTTTTGAAGATGAGGTGACAGGCGACAGGGCATAGAGAAAAACAGGAGGTCTTTGCATTGCGGGCATCTTGGAATTTTTTTGATGACGTAGGTCGTCACAGCGACTTTTATCATCGATTTTCGATTTGGTCCGGATTCGATCCGATTCGAGTCACATATAAGCCTCTGTGAACTCTTAAATGCTCAAGACTTTTTTATACGCAAAAATCCGAGTCAAGTCAAACTACTCTTTCTCACTCCCCTCCTACATATCTGCCATGTGTAACTCCCCCAGAAGAGATAGTCAGCTTGGGATTTCTAGGGATAGTCGTCAAAAAAATTCAATAACTCTCGGCAAAATACTAATTTTTAGACGTATGCCCTTCACGACTCTTGAAAACCCCTAAATATGTTTTTACTTTTCCCCCCTTTTTTTAAAAATGAGTATTGATTTGGACACATCATGGCATAATCTGAGCAAACATAACCTTCACATTCCTCAAATATCCGTGCTTGATGGATGCTCATGTTGCATCTGCAAAACTGAAGGCGCGATAACGTGAGACTTGAACTCGAAATGCTCCGCTCTATGCTTTCAATGAGGTATCGTTCAGATTCGGGAAAAGAGTGCAAAATCAAGGCCCGATCTCGTCTCTAAAATATTTTGCTGTGTTTCTTACGTAGCTCATGAAGCATCACCACAATAATAAGACAAACAGAACCAATACAACGCGGAAATAGAGCAATAGAAAGGACCTGTGGTAAGACGGCGCAAAAATACAACTATTCGTGCTTGATTGATGTCGTCGTTGCATCTGCAAAATTGAAGGCGCGATGGCGTGAGGCGTGAACTCGCAACGCTCTGCCTCATGCTGCTGATGAGGTGCCGTGGCTCAGATTTGGTAGAAAAGTTAAGAAACGAGACCCGATTGCGTCTCTCCTATCTCCGGCTGTAGTGACTCAAGTTCATGTCTAATTATTCTTTTTTTACGATGTATTTGAGGACCTGTATCTAAAGCTCGTTTTTGCCGACATCATACATCCCACGGCTCACATATTTTCAGCAAGCCTCGGATCAATTTGACCTGGCTTGGGTATTTAATGGTTAAGTGAGTCCTGGTAAATGTAATTGTTCCTTACACGTATCAAATCATTTCCGAGGTCTTAATGGAGATGTTGCATGTGTAGGGGATTTGCGATTTGACCATTGATTCTTGTGTAAAAGTTCGCGAGAAACACGATGGTGCCACTGGTTTTCTCTGAAATCATCTCCCAAGCTCAAAAAAGCTCTCAAAGTGAGGCCAAAATGGAGGGGATATCCCACCCTATGTTTTCCCTAATGCCTCGCTTCCGAAAACACATTGTTCTTAAATCAATTTTTGCCCCCCCCCCCCGCGACCTACAGATTTCTCGCCCCCTCATGTTGAAATTCTGCCCCCCAATCATACCATCCTGGCTACAGCCCTGCCTAAAAAACTGAATTTACAAGGAAAATCGCGAATATTTTTCTTCAAATTATTCAGACATTTCTTTTCGCAATTTAATCTAAAACATTTGAACATTTCAAGATAAATGAGGCATCATTATCCTCTAAAATACGTGTTTCGACCAGGGTTTTGAACCAAATCTTCTGCTATCGAATACGAAACATGATGTAGAATTTACGCTTTATGTTGATTAGCTTCTCGAAAAAAAATAAAATTTCTAAGGAAGTCTGCAACGTCGCACATGGAGAAACGTCGTCTCTCATTTTGCCCAAAAATACGTATATATAAAATTGAAGGCATTATGACTTTCCTCTCTCAACTTATATTCGTGTGTAACGATAAACAATGGGACGCGTTTGCTACGGCGCCTTGATACAACTATACAACCTCGACGGATGTCCGTATTGCGTTCAAAAAATTGAAGGCGTTTTGACTCCCTGCTCATACTACGTGTAGTTGATTCGATCGACAGACGCGTTGGTCGGCGGTGACGGGGACTTGATGCAACTATTCAAACTTGATGGATGTCCGTATCGCACAAACTGAAGTGCGAAACCACGTATCTCCATTGCGGTGTTTCAAAATAACCGTTCTTATTTCACCTCTTCCATGAGAAACAATCCAAATTTACGACTTTTGGCACCTCTCGAATGTTCATACGGCGTTCTTCCTTAGCACGGTATCATTTGAGTATACGGAGGGTATGGATTCGATCGAAAAATGAAAACGTGAATCGATGGACACCGATTCGATCGACAAATTATTAAAAAACCGCTGTCGATTCGATCGACATGAATCGATCGAAAAATGAAAACATGAATCCATCGACATGAATCGATCGACATCGATTCGATCGACAGTTAATTTAAAAACACCCGTGTCGATTCGATCGACATGAATGGATGGAAAAATAAAAACGTGAATCGATCGAAGTGAATGGAGCAACACCGATTCAATCGACAACCGTGAATCGATTGACAAACCCGTGAATCGATCGACCAACCCCTGAGTCGATCGAATCGGTGTCGATCGATTCGATCCACATTTTCATTTTTCGATCCATTCATGTCGGTCGAATCGGTACGGGTGTTTTTAAATTAACTATCGATTGAATCGGTGTCAATTAATTCATGTCGATCGATTCACGTTTTCTTTTTTCGATCGATTCATGTCGATCGAATCGACACCGGTTTTTTAATAATTTCTCGATCAAATCGGTGTCGATCGATTCATGTCGATCAATCCACGTTTTCATTTTTCGATCGATTGATGTCGATCGAATCGACACCGGTTTTTTAACAAATTGTCGATTGAATCGGTGTCGATTGATTCATGTCGATCGATTCACGTTTTCATTTTTCGATCGATTCATGTCGATCGAATTGACACCGGTTTTTCAATAATTTTTCGATCAAATCGGTGTCGATCGATTCATGTCGATCAATTCACGTTTTCATTTCTCGATCGATTCATGTCGATCGAATCGACATCGGTTTGTTAACAAATTTTCGATCGAATCGGTGTCGATCGATTCATGCCGATCGATTCGCGTTTTCATTTTTCGATCGATTCATGTCGATCGAATCCGTATCCTCCGGAGTAGACATACGTTTTTCTTGTTTTTAAACTCTCCTTGTGATCACCCGTTGTGTCTCAGACCCATTCTATTAATTGTCTTCATCCAATTAATGCATATCCTGAGAGGCCGTCGGCCGAGTTCATTTTATCCTACTTATAGTGGAAGACTTATTAACAGTGCGAGGTGGAGTGAGGATCATACTGAACCCTCCTCCGGCTATTTTGGCTCCTCTGGAAGACTTGGGTTTCTCCAACTCGTGCCTCAATTTTTCCGCAAGATTCGTCGATAGCGCCGAGGATGAGTCGTCCATACTTTTCTGGCGCAGCTTCCCGATGTTGTGTTTCTGCACAGAGAAGAAAGGGGATACTCATTTTTTTTAAGTGTGACGGACTACAAATTTTCAAAACGGAGATGTTGCATGTGTGAGGAATTTGCGATTTGACTGTTGATCCTTACGTAAAAGTTCGCGAGAAACACGATGGTGCCACTGGTTTTCTCTGAAATCATCTCCCAAGCTCAAAAAAAGCACTCAAAGTGAAACCAAAATGGAGGGGATATCTCATGCTATCCTGAGAGTCCACCTCTACATCAAAACAAACTCTCCATGCAAAGATAGGGAGCAAATACATTAGCAGGGTTGCCGTGTTTTCAGTTTTGGAGTCCCCAAATAAAGTGGCAGCCCTGTCAATGTATTTGCTCCCTATCTTTGCATGGAGAGTTTGTCTTGATGTAGAGGTGGACTCTCAGGATAGTGTGGGATATCTCCTCCATTTTGGCCTCAACTTGAGAGCTTTTTTTGAGCTTGGGAGTTGATTTCAGAGAAAACCAGTGGCACCATCATATTTCTCACGAAACTCTCCGTAAGGATTAACAGTCAAATCGCAAATTCCTCACACATGCAACATCTCCATTAAATGATTGTGAAACTACCTATGTTCAGCTGAAATCAGTGTTATCTTAATTTTTTCGAAACTGCACTTCTGTATGCTCCGTTTTATCCGAGCCTCGCATATGAGCTAATATCTCAATTAATTGAGGGGCTTGGAAGACAATGCAACAAGTGCAGTGTTTTCTACTTCGAAAAATACGTGTTTGACGTTTCGAAATTACATGGATCTATGTGGCGGAATGAAAGTTTTTTCCGAAAAATTGTCTTACTTATACGCCTTGTCCTCCAAGTCACTCAATTATTCCCTTTTTTCTTTTAAGCCGTATAAGGTGCAAGGTGCAAAAGGAAATTCCAATGTCAATTATTGCTATCATTTGTGTCTGGTAAAGACTATCATCGATGTTCTTACGCATTTATCTACTTTTCTGACTCCGCGTTTAAGTCTCCAAAAATATGCACGTTCGAAAAAACGTTGGTGCGTTGAATGATTATGTATCGATACCTGTTTACCCATGAGAGATCACGTTTGCGAATAGTTGCGTGCTCTTAAATCCACAAATACTTCAACTGGAATTTTTATAGCTTCTGAAAAAGTAAAGCATACGCTGGAAAATTAGGCTTGCGTGTAGGGACTTTTCGGCTTAGCATTCTACACTCGGCACTCAACACCGACGTTGTTTTGGCTCGACGCAAAACAAAGATTAATTTAAGTCAAGTGTGTCTCGGTGACGGTTAACTGATTATTTTGAAAAGGGTTTCTCTAAGGTGGTGTAAAAAGAGTTCCATTGATCAACCAGCTACGAGTAGCGGTTAGCTGTACGCCCTAAGATTGCCTCCCGATATTTTCAGTGACATGCTTCTTTTATTAGGGCAAATTAATACGACGGAGAAAATTTGTAACATTCTGATTGAGTGAAAATTGATGATATCGTCAATTGCAACAGATGGAACAATGACAACGATTCATAATAGTCCAAAATGTAACAGGGTAAGGAACGCACAAGAATTAGGTAACAAAGGCTAAAATCATATTTTTAGCGTTGGTTACCAATTTTTTGTGCGTTTTTCATCTTTGTAACAGAGGGCTAATGAACTCTGACTTACTGCCCTCAATTCCTACACTGGAAAAATGAAAAAAACACATTGGATCTAGAGTCCAGACTCTTAAAAACATCGACAAGAAAAAATACTCTTAATTCAATCGGATTTTTGCTTAAATCAAGAACCATAAGCCTCTTAATTTGAGCGGATTTCCTTTTGATTTAATCTTAAATCTGAATGAATCAAGAGTATTTTTTCTTGTCAATATTTTCAAAAGTCTGGACTCTAGATCCAATGTGGTTTTTTTTTCCAGTGTAGAAAAGGAAGAGTATATAATTTAAGTACATGTGCAGGTAAAAACAGTAATAACCGTCAATTTAAAATTAAAGAAAGCAAATGACCCTTGAATACGTGGTTGTTGTTCTGATACAATTTTCTCGCATCATCACGCATATCTGTGCGCATGATTGAGACTCAACTCTTCCGCGTTTAGTAAAAGGACTTGTTAAAATGTGTAATTATCCGGATTGAAGCTGCTTAAAACGTGAATTTTCCAGAAATCTTGAGAATATTTTTCTTTAACATTTCCGGGGAGCTTCGACCTTGCACTTAAAGAATTGTATAGAAACTTATTTTTTCTCTTGTGGAAAAACGGAGAAACTTCAATTAGATGCGTAGAAGTGTGTTTTTTAGTAACGTCATCGAGTTAAATGTTTTTGTGGTAAACAAAAAGGCATTCCCTACAGCTCATTGATGCAGCTAACTCTAAACGGCCCAAAGATCGAGGCATTTTGCCCTGCTGCGTCACGATTTGCAATGAGATAGGAAAGTGTAAAATAGTTAATTAAAGTTTAAAAGTAAAAGAAGGATAGTCAACAACAGCTACTTACTTGCTGATAGTACTTTTTTTTAAACGAATCGAGCTCAATACGACATCGCTCAACTTCCACTTTGTATTCTGACGCCTGAGCCTCTGCTGCTTCCAACTGACCCGTCAAAGCCTGAAAAAATTGCGCAAGTAAAAAAAAATTCACAATATAATTCTGCTTAACAAACTTTGAACTTCCGGCATTAAAAAGTATGAGTTCACAACCGCTCTCTCTCTCTCTCTCCCTCCTCTCTCTCCCTCTCTCCCCCCCCCCTTCTACTCTGTACGCTCCGAGCTTCATTTTCGCTAAATACGATCCAAATCTCATACAGGCCAACACCGCCGTGCTAAAGAAAAACGTCTCATGAACACTCGAGAGTTGGCGAATTTCCTACGGTAAAATTTTTATTTTTAAGGAGAGTCAGAGACCGTCCTTAAATAACGTAACGCTCTTGGGGGGGGGGGGGGGGTCGAGGAGAACGTT